GGGTCCATAGGAAATAAACACAACCTAAATACAAACCATATAAAATTGCCCAAGCATTGTGAAACATTGCTATAGGAGTGAGGGAGAGAATAATGTGCAGCTTTAATAGACCCTAAAAATGCTAGATATTCAAAAAACTTAACATGTTTTCAAGATTAAATTACACAATCATTTGTTACAATTTTATACTTTACTTTTAGCAAAAGTTTTGTTTCAGATTTCTTTACAAAAAACTTAATTATTAAGGCTGTAAAACAAAAGGAGCAGAGTTTTCTATGTGAAATTGGCCCTAATGATAACACAGTCTGTCTTAAGTAGGTAAAACAGATGAGCTGTGTTGTTCATTCTGGCACTAATGCACAGAGTTTTAAAAAAAACAGGTAGGCATTGTCCAGTCAGTAATGTATTTGTTAACGCTGGTAGGAGGTACTGGGCTTTTAGATCACAGTGGGGCAGATAATGAAGAAGTTAATAAGAGAAATGGTACTTCGAAATGTTCCTCAACCATCCAGGTCCCACAATTTAATCTGTAATAAATAATCTGGCATCATTGCAAGATGGCATCTCATAATGGCAAATGAAATATGCTGGTATGATAGGTACAATAAATCTGGATTTTCCTATGGTTCCCTCAGGCTAGGACAATATGCAACTATAGTGCTCTCTGTCAGGAAGAGCAGATCTCAGAGCCGTCATAAAATCTAAATGGGCACTAATTAGGCAAGCCTTCCCTCTCACACTTACTATTTCTATTGACATTTTCGGCGCACCGTCCTCCCCCCCACCCCAGCCCCCCACCCTCTCTCCTTTAAGTCACGGGGAAAAAAGAACTCCCAGGATTGCAGAGCACAAAGCTGTTAAAGGGAAGTTCAACTTAATGGTGATAAACAAATGTGCCCTCATGCTGTTCTGTTTCTTTTGTCCTGAACCCAAACATTTTCATGCATCTAAATGATAATTTACTGTGTAACAATTGATGACATCAGCATATATCACAGCCATAAATATACATTAAAATTGACACTGCCTGACTGTGTCTGTCCGGTGACATCGGAGGAATAAAAATAATCTTGAGGCCACGTGTTAATATCTTGTGGCCATGAGATTATTTTGAGCAGCCTTGATGCAGACATTGTTGGAGTCAAATTATAGGCTATATTATTTTTTTTAATGTAAACTGTTCATCATTTTTAGATTTTATGAGATGACAATGAATGCCTGTGGTGTGTGATGGGAAACAAATTTTCACTGTTCTTGAACGTAACGTAACTCCAACTCCTTCCGAAGCAACGGCATGAAGTGTGAGAGGAACCTGTCTTGAGTGTTGAGCTTCAAAAAAATAAATAAAATAAAATAATAAAGCTTTTTTGGACAAAAACAAATCCAGTCATCACCTGTCATAGCTGCAACATAGAACACTATGAATAACTTTATGTCGTTCATTCCTGGTATTAAATGAAATTACTTCAAACTTCAATCAACAGTCTCTGCAGGAAAATGGTTGCAATAATCATCTTGGGGCCATGACATTATCTTGTGGTCACAACAAAAGTTTCTTGTGGCCACGACATAATAATGAGTGGCCATGAAATTGTTTTATCCAAAGTCACTGGACGGGCATACCTCAGTAAAAACATGATGACAATGTTTAGTTACAAATAAATATTACAAATATAATATATAATATGATCTTATTTTATAGTTTTGTGAAATGATAGATTTAATGCTAGATTCGTTGTGACCACTACAAAAAACTAAAAAAAAAAAACATCACAAGTGTAACGTTAAAAGTGTGAAGAACTGATGGCAGTATTTCTTCCTGCACACAGCAGCAGAGTTTAGTTAACTTCTCTATAGGGAGCGTGGGGGTTGAGAGGTGGTGAGGAGTGGTGGGATCAGGTAAATATATACGTATGCATTCCTGGCTGCTTCAAATTAATAAAAATCTAATGCGTGCTTGGCACAGGACTGCTTGTTGAACATATGCTGCAAGCACGGCTAAGCCATCTGGCTCAGAGTCAAGTATTCCCACCAACTGTAGTCTTATGCTACCTGACAGTGGAAAAGCTTTATTCCCCTGGCATCGGGGGCACAAATGGAGAAATATTATTGAAATGATTATCTGCATCAAGACTCAGATTTGGGCTGACATTTCGCTGGCTCTGTGTAATCCGAGGGGTTGTCTAGGAGAGGGCGGAGAGGGGGTTTGCCGGTAAGCCTTGGCGGGATGATTAATGAAGCAAGGATACTGGGTGGACCCAGCCCACCTCCACTCAGACCCAGGGGCCGAGCCCCACATATGAAATTGGCCTCCGCTGCTCATCTCCCTGGGAGAGAGCCACTGATGATCCTCCCGACACCGCCGTACCTCCAGTCACCAAACAGCACTCCAAAGCCACGCAGATCCAGGCTTAGAGGATGCTCTGCTCGCACTGTCAGGCTGGAGGGGAGGGAGGGTCGGTGGGCAACAGCATCCGTACACCTGCTCCTCCGTCAATCACCTTCCAGTTCACTTTTTGTTGTTAAAAATGATAACTTTTTACTATTAAGGGCCTTAGTTTTTCTCTGAATTACCTTACATTTTACCTAAAAGGATGATTCGTGCTGTGAACATGCTCAAAGTTAAAGAATAGAAGTGAAACATGAAAAGAAAAATCATACCTGCTGATATCAAAGCAGAAAGTATTGTAATTTTACGAAAAAAAAAAGGCAAGTCCCGCATTTCTATATAAAATCATAATGAACCCGTCTGCGCTTTAACATCGGTGCAGCACCATTGCGAGGCTTTTTCTCTGCCTTGATAGATGGGCTGCATGGTGAAAGCCTCTCAGGATGCTGGTAATCACACAACAGCAAACCAAAGTCTTGACCACACTGAGAAACAACTCCAACACGTAGCTCAAAAGAAGCGAAACACTCCAAAAAAGTGAGGAACATCTTTAATCACTGCGTGTCGATGATCAGTCATAGACAATGTAGCTTTGTTAGAAATCCGCTGTAATTAATAACGAGCCCGGAACCGAACAATTGAGGGAGTGACTGTCATGATTTGTACAATACCAGAGAGGTGATTTCTAAATAGTGTAAATTAGGTGTTTACCTATTGTGATCCAGCCTCTGACACAGCAGTTTTTTCATGCCTGAGAACCAGACTAAAGCGAATGATTAATTGCAAGCTCACTGGTTTTACAGCTTCAAGAGTAAATCAACTTCTACGAAGTGCTAACTTGCTGAAACATAAACTAATTTTAGGCCCCAGATATTAAAATATAATCCATCTTCTTCCTCCACAGGGAAAGCTAATTAGAAAATGTGACTGGCATAAGAGAGGAGAGGTGGAGGAATAGTGGGATTAGACTCGGGGAGCAGGGAAAAAAATCACACCCTTTTGTTAAATCTAGATTTTTTTTCTTCTATAAACTATTTTACTTTGTGCTTCACAATTTGTCTGATTTCTTTTCAAAATACGAGCCAGAAATTTATGTTTAGTCCAGATGCATTATAAAACTTTTAACAGGAGAAATATCTGAATTAAAAAGAAACAGACAAACTGCATTTATATTTCTTCTTTCATTTTTTTTTCATTTGTTATGTTCAGCTGTGCCTGTGTGCTTTTTATTTGAACATCTACTTGCCACATATTCACTTTCATGCAATAGCCAATAAACAGCCACTGCCTGAGGCAAAGAGGCTACCTGACAGAGGCTCAACACCGAGCTCTGTTCTTTGTAGTGACCTCATGTAGCGAAACATCCACAACTAGTAGTACAGAGCATTTTATTAGCCAATGCAATCAAGTAGGTTTAAACTGAAAAAATCTTGTGTTAAAAAAAGCAAAAAAAATTGAATAAACTGAGCTAAAGAAAGACTATTCAAGTAAACTTGTGCAACTTTGACTTTTTGGGTGTTATTGTGGGTGTTTTAGATGAAAATCTGTAAAGCCAAAAATAAATAAATAAATAAATAAATAAATAAATAAATAAATAAATAAATAAATAAATAAATAAAAGCCAGCATGCAGCGTGACACAGTGCAACAGATCTGAGTGGCCATAGCCAACCGAGCTCTGTTGAGTCCCACAAGACGATCCCCTGAGAGCAGAAATGCTCTGAGTGGTGACAGCTTAAAGGCAATAAGCCAATAATAAAGAGCAGCAAAGTGGCCATGAGAGAGAGCTCTGTTCCTGCTGCATTCAAAACAACAGCGCAAACAAGTGTCACTAAGTATTCTGCAACCAAAGTTAATGTTTTTTTTTCACAAGTTTTTATGCACCATTTAGTGGAGAGTTATTGGACACGTTTTAAAATGTTAGCTTCTTCTTCTTCTTCTTCTTCTTTTCCTTCTAAATATTCCTCCTCAAATGAGTAAGTGGGATGCAATTTTATTGAGAGTGGCACAAAGACAATTTATTTTCAGCGGACCAGTCTGTTAACCCTTTCAGTGTGCGACATAAGTTCATAATCCATTTGCAGAGGCACATATTTTAGTGCTATAATAGCTGCACAATTGCTGCCCTGCTGAGAGTCTATTTGGCTGCACCAAATGCTTTGAAATGCCTTCCTACTGTCTGTAAGTACTGAGAAACACTCAAAAGAAAATCTCCCGAATGCAAATTGCTCTTAATCTGGCTAAACTTTATTTCATAATGTATGGACCTGACACAGGGGGCTAAGGTACTTTTATTTAAAAGCATAAYGAAAAGCAAAAAAATAACAAAAAAATTAAAAAAAGAAGAAGAAAACAGGTTGCTGTGTAAAAATGATTTGTGTTTTAGAAGAAAATATTAATGGTAAGTTTAGTTTAAAAATTTTGGATTATCTGAATTAGGGAGAGTTTTCACCATGCAGAAGAAATGCCCAAAAAAAGCTAATTAAGCAGCTCTGAATTATCATTAAAAAAGTGCATTGTGGACAATTTCCTTGCACCTGTTACAGAAATCTTTGTCTTTGCAGTCCGCTTGTCTGATAGAACTTTGGTTGTGTTCTTCAGCCCGGTGAGCGTGTGGATGGATTTTTGGGTTAGTTTGGAGAGAAGAATGCTGCAGAGGAGGACAGTGACCAGCCTGTATGGGAGGCCAAGCAGAGGAGAACTCATTTGGTATTCAGCACTGCAACATTGCCATCTTTTGGCCAGACTGAATACACTCTCCAGTCTTTAAGCTGCTGCCGTGTCCAGACACACTGAGGCACTTATGTAGCTTCACACAAAAAGGTAGGTAATGGATGAATTATTTGGTCACTGATAAACGATGTATTATCATTTGGATGATTGTAAAATGTTTGTTCCTTGCTCCAAATAATCAGTGTCGATTTTTTCATTTCGAGGATAAAGTTTCAATTTTTTTGTTGTATTTTGTACAGCATGTGACTGCATGAAGTATTGAGATTTTTATTTATATACTTAATTAAGCTTTATTACAGCTCAGTTTGTTTTATTTTTTTTTCTAAATCCCATAATTGATCAAACTCTATGGCTCTCAAAATCTAATTCAAACACTTTAGCTGTTCGTCCGTCATCTCTTCCCCTTCTGGCAGCAAATTTACAAACATGTGGCGAAGAGGAACGCTTGAGTGGGGATTCTTATCCTCTACCTGAATAAATATTTGTCTGACGTGGCCGTGCCGTCCCGTTTTCCCACGGTGGTGTATGGGACATCATGGATAAGAGAGAGGATGGGCTCTGACAGAGAGTGACAATTCATCCCTTCATTCCCMCCCCCCCACCCCTAACTGACATGTCACATTCTCTGATGACTTTATTGTGCTCCCTGTCACTGCACTTAATCTGTGTGTCAGTCAAGCTGGAGCAGCCCACACCCGCACCTCTAGACAGCAGAGCTAATACCCACCCTTTTAATGACATTAGATTTGGAGTAATGCCATTCAGCGTTGCACTGATATTATCTTCTATTTGCATCATTCAGCCCAGCGACACGGCCCGAGCTCGGCCGATAGAGAGCTGGTCATTTCCCCATCCATTTCCACTCGGATGACAGATGTCAAGATGGAAACTGACTATTATTTACTCGGGCCATGTTTTTATCACACACAGACATGATGTCTCACTTTACTCCAGGCTGTCAGCCAATGCATCAGAGCCTGTCTTTTTTTTTTTTTTTTTTTTTTTTTTTTCCTTTTTTTTTTTTTGTGACTTTCTCCCATTTTTTTTAGGGGGTAATACAAACTCTAGATTCATTTTCTTGGTTTTATTTGTGGAATAAATCACTTGGTCGCAGTCTGTCTAATTTGGTATTTTAGCATCTTTCCCGCAGTCTCAGCATAAGCRAATTAATAATCCCTGCTCATGCATGCCTTCTCAGTAAACATCTGTACTCTTTAAGGTGCTGTGATAACAATATAATGACATGCCATGAATGATTTGGAGCAATTCGTATTCTCTCTACAGTGTGTTTGGGTTTTCTGTCACTGAGAATGAGTGTGCAGCATGAACAGCCTATCAGCATTAGAGGTAACCAAATCCTTTTTTTTCCTCCCTCCCTCTCTCTCTCTCTCTCTCCCTCCACTGTCAGTGCATTCTCTCTCCCATCAGAGCTCCTAGTGCCTAATTAAATGTATTTAGCATCATAAATATTCCAGGGGGACAGGTTGACATAGTGAATTAATGTCTTGCCTCAATGCCACAGCCACTCGATTGGCTGTGGGGAGAAAGTTAGCCCAATGCCAGGTGAATGCCGTTGCTTTCATGTCTTGTTATGAAATATCCATTTTGCTTTTGCTTCCTAATGCACTCAAACTGAAACTACATTGATACTGATTAAGTCGCAGAGCAGGAGAAGAGTCACTTTTGGAATGACTGTGGGGGCAGAAGCTGATTTTTTTAAAATATATTTTAGGCAACTAATGTTTTACTTATTTGCATTGCAGTAATCCCTTTAGGTTTTGTTATTGCTAATTTTCTTTATTCTGCAGCTAAATAACAGTTTTGGCATGAGGTCTAATTTCCTTGTCCTTCACGCATCTCTGCTTGGTTACAACTTCAGAGTGTGGTATCACAACAAAAGGGACTGTTGTCAATAGAAGCTTTTGGATTTAAGATATTCTCTTTTTACAGTTTTTATTAATATGTACAAAGAGTGTTGCTCAGGATTTGTTTGGTCACTGCAATGCATAGCTCCCATTTCTGCCCCTTTTTTTTGACCTGAGTGTTTCAGGCATAATTAACAGGATTTTAAATGGTACAGCCCCACCTCACAGTGCTGGGAAATTCACCAGTGTCCTTCACCAATCCACACAGACAGCAGGGATATTCAGATGCCTCTCTTGAGCTTTAATGCTCATTCCAAGTCTTCACACTTGGGGAGAAACGTTTGAATTTTATTTATTTATTTATTTATTTATTTATTTATTTATTTATTTATTTATTTACTCTGAGACAAACTCAAGAAAGAGTGTTTGCATCTGCTAAGCCACCACCAGGACAGACAAAAACAGCCAAACTAGGCCGAAGGCGCTGGGAAAGATAGAATTATGTGTTATTATGTTCATTTTTAAATCTGGGTATCTCCCTCACCTTTTCTCTTGCCTCTGAACATGCATGGGCTTTGCTTTTTTTTTTCCCTTTCTCCTTCTCAACACGTATAATTGCAATATGCAAGAGCTAAACTAATTTTACGACACAGGAACACCTGTATTCATCTCCATATTAATAGAAAACAGGAAGTATAAATCCCAATTTTCCAGCAGCCACTGTCAGTGAAGATGTTCCTTGAGGGAAAAGGCTGTCTCCTCTCCATTAAAATATCGGTGCTCTCTTCTCGTTTTCCCTTTAGAGCGTCCGTTTTGAGCCTAAATCAGATATCATAATTATGAATGGCACCTAAGCTACATCACTGAGCTTGACACTTCTAATATCCATATGTGCCAATGAGCTTTTAAGTTTCCACTGTTGGGGTGTGCTTGGTGTTGAGTTATGGCGCCGTGCAGCGCCGCTCTAGAACACGGGTTCCTGGGAGTCTCATTTAGCCATGGAAAAGGGAGCTTTGACTGATAGGCTCATTTGGATTTAACACAAGTGCACCGCCCTGAAACATCATGCAGAAAAGTACAGAAACTTTTAAACTCCTGGAGCAATGGGAAAAAAATGGATCCAACTCAGGCCTGAATCAAAAGATTATAAACATAATATTAGGTTTTATTTTTAAAAATAGGAGATTATTTTTTTCTATTTACAGTTTTAGGCATTAATCAGTGTGAGTTTCACCCTCCCTCTCTGTGTCTAAGTCATTATACTAAGGACAGGAACCCTTGTCAGGTCAGGCACTACAAAGCCATGGCATGTGTAGGTGGTCTAAACCTCATTAGTAACAACACAAGCGATGGTCTAATGAACTTAAGACAATGCTAATTAATGGATGAGAACAAAGGCGTAACATTTCTAGAAAGTGTGAAGCACCAAATCTGCTTGTATGACAGCGTTTAAGCCACCTTAATCCTCCTCTGATGTGTTGCGTGGTGCCTCGACCCGCCCGGCACCAGGGCAGGTCAGAGGGAGCAGTTCCATACCTCAGCAGATATAGTCACCTGTGACAATCCTTTCTGGGCTGATAAAGTAAGGGAAGTCTCTCAAGGAACAGTGCAGTGACTTGGCGGAGGGGGTCCCCGGGGAGCAGGTGTCAGGGTTGTCTATCAGAAGCCTGAAAGGAGAAAAGGGACGTGTTATGGGGCTCCATTGTATCCGGGTTGTCATTGACTGATCGGGTCCATTTAGCTGGCTTTCACAGTGAATGAAACCACCTGAATAGATGAAAGCGAGACAGCCTTCCTGACAAACAAGGAGCCCTGGAATATTCATAGAGGATCTGTGAGGAAAAGATTAATGCATTAGAAATTAAAATGGGGCCCGGACGTATGATCTTGCTCTAACACTTGGCCAGACCTGTGTCACCCGCCGCTAGCGCCTGAAGTCGGCACATGCTGCTGCCAAGGTGGAGAGGAATCAATAAGCACCCTGCCATTGTGTGAGCAGAATAATCAAACTTCACCCTCCCACCACCACCTGCCCCCCTTCTCACAAACGCACACCTCCACACCCCCTTTCCTCATTCTTTCCCGCAGCACTGACAATGAATAATTCTGGAGCCATTTGCAATGTTAACGGCACCTATCTGGGCCATCCATGCCTTTATGATAAGAGCTCCAAATATGCATTTCAACAGTCTGAACAGAAGCTGCTTCACCGGCATTTCAAAGGACACCTGTCAGTCATCTGAAAGAGCTGTCAGTCTCTGTCACGCAACGGTGCCAGTGAAATGGCCCAAAAGATAATCTTTACTCTCCCTCTTTCTGTCTCTCCACCTCACTCTTTCAGATCACAGCAGTTACATTTGCAATTGACTGACAAGTGATTTACACTGGAAAATAGATTGTGTTTAAACTGAAAAAAAGAGGGGGGGGTGTATTCTTTTAGGCTGTGTTATTCTGCGCTAGAGTACAGCTGTATCAAATATGCTATCATAAATGTGATCTGGGCCACACTGAATGTCATTACGTGTGATACCATGAGCACTAGATGGGCGGCTGAGCTCAAAAGGTGACTTTGATGAATCCTATCTCGCTAAACAGAGCCATGTGTATGTGAAGAGAAAGATGGGGCCAGATCAAACAGGTTTCCAAAAAGTTTGACCTTCTTTTGCTTTTTTGCTCAAATTTATCTTCAAAAGGAGATTATTTGGACGTGATTTAGTAGCTATGTGGCCATGGATTTTGACTTAGCAAAACCGACGTCTTGGACCAGACATGTATTTTCTTAATTCCATACACAGATTTGTATCAGATTGTGGTTATGGCCACTTTGTTGACGAGGAAGCAAAACAGGCCCCTTGCTTCTCCACATGCGCGCCAGGAATTTGTTTAAGCACGGCTAGCTAGTGTGCCACCAGCTGTTGGTGATATTTACAGCTGAGTGCAGAGGATGTGTTTGGACCAAGGCTTGCGGGGCCGCGGCAGCACTGGGCCCCAGCCCATTTCCCCTCACAGGCGCTCCGAGGGCGAAGACTGCCAGCACTCGCTGGGATATCATAAAATCAAAACACAGAGGTGCACAGAGCGACACATAACTCAATTTTACATACATGACAACTKGCTGGCTCAGCAGAGTTAGGAGGGAGCAACGTGCTTTGAACACACCGACTGTGAATCTAAAGAATGACCTTTATGACGAGTCCTCCTTTATCCAGCTAAGTACAGAATATACTCTGCGAGGACGGTCCAATTGTTTCCCTGCAGAGTACCACTCGTCCTGTCATCATGAGATCACAGCTGAAGTATGGAACATTACCTCATGCATGCTGGACATCAGTGGCACACTTCGATCACTGAAGTCCACTACAACTGTCTGAAACTGTCTTCAATGTGCTCCTGGGAACTCTGCCAAAAGCCAGAGTCACTTAAGTTCATGCAGTCCAGTAACCGTACAAAGCCCTGCGGAAACTCTTCTGCTTACCCATCCCAAAATTTTTGTTGTTTTTTATAGCAATTCAGCCTCTTTCCACACAGAACAAACAACTGTTCGACAAGTCACTTGAATTTTGGGCTCTCTTCTTTGTCACATAGTTTCCACGCCATGTCCACTCCTCTGACAGTCTTCTCATTGTGGCTCAGGGAGGATCTGGTTTGAGGAGTGAGTCACCCCATGAATGGTTCGTGTTCATTTTAGGTCATTGTAGGACAATATAATACCCAATACTGAACGCTGACTCACCAGGTCTTGTTTGCTTTGACCGTTATGTCCATTTTTCCACTGTGGAAAAGAACTTCCACTTGTACTTTTGCTAAAGCTCAGCGAGACACTCACTGGCAAAAACATACACATGTCAGAGAGACAACACGGTTGTTTTGAACAAAAACATTACAGGGAGACAAATGAGCACGCATTCGTATAATCCGCGAGTAAATGAAATGTTAGGAGTTAATCAAATGAAGTGAACGGAGAAACAAAAGGGGGTAGTTATCTCCTCTGCAGTGCACACCACCTCCCCCATTTAAAATCCTCACAAATGAATGTCAATAGATGTGCGTGTAAAACAGCTTTCTTACAAATTATTCAGTGACTACAGTTTTGCAGTTGAAAAAGTCACACATAGACAGCCATTTACCTGAGTCACAAATGAGTATGTAATTGAGTCCTGAGGGAAAATAACTCAGCTTAACTACTGGAAATAATGTGTAAATTCAATACATTTTCTAATGAGCTCATTTGAGTTTGCCGCAATTATCTTTGCTAGTCTAGGTGCAGATAGGGCTCTGCAGCTGAGTTGAGGTGAATAAAACCCACATTTCTCGTGCATTCATTAAAATTAGCATATGGACCTGTCAACACTTCTCAGAGGCGCGCTGTAACAATGCCATTTAGCCCTGCATCAAGCCATGCCAGTCGAGTGAATGCATGCGGTGGGTAAATGCCTCCCCACCCACAGCGACAGGGGTGGAATAGGACTGGCAATGCTGGCTCTGACGCACAAAAGAGGCTGCTTTTTAACAGCCAGGCCCTGGCCTGTGATCAGGGGCCATCCACATCAACACCGCTTACACTCCACCATACCTCCCAGCTACTAACCCAGCCAACCAGCGCTCAGACGCACTCTGAGACAGACATCGAGAGGAACGAGGGGAGAGAAATGTGCTGCGTGAGGGTGGATGTGTGGGAACAGGGAGCGAAAAGGAAAAGACACAAAAATAAGACAGGTGGATTTCTTTTATGCTTGTTTTATAGTGTGTTTTGTTCTGTTTAATAGGACTAAAACTCAAGATTTTGTCTTTGTAAAATTCCAGAAGATACTGCTGGATAAACTTTATAAATTTCCTTATCAAAAAGTACCAGGATTGACAGATGGAAAGGGAAAAAAAACTGATCCCTTGTTGTTTTTTTGTCATCATTTCACCGAAGCTGCCAGTGAGGTAAAGTATTGTTGTTCAGTGAAGCGCACAAGGCTCGAGTTGCATTGTTGTGCCAGGATTTTAAAACAGGCGCGAGTTATCAATAGACCACAGACTATTCGACTCACTCAGCTGTGCCTCTTGATACACTTCAGAACCTCACGCTGCACAGCCTGCCACAGTCTCACACAATTGGCCCGTTTTGCTGACAAATATTTTGTTTCCAGATGCATCCAGGATCATGTCTAATGAACACACAACGTTCTTTACTTTAAAGCTCCCACCTTCTCCTTTAGGCACAAATGATCAGTCTTATGACACATTTTCAATTACTAAAACCTCATTAGCTGTTTAGGATTTTAGCGTCTCTTTATTAAGAGTTAATAAACCCTGAAATTTGCTCACGATGGCAAAATTGAAAGTAGTAAAATTGCACAGAGGAACAAAAAGAGGACAAGGCCTCAGCTGTGCACTGCACTGATCTGCACACTGTGATTACCTGGAGCAGAAAAGCAAATGTAAAGGCCTTGGGCTGGCTTTGATATTTCCATTGTTTGTGTGTCTGCTGTGACCTGGACTACATCTAACAAACCTAGACTGGAGGTCAGTAGGAATCAAGAGGCGAGGAGAGGAGAGGAGAGGAGAGGAGAGGAGAGGAGAGGAGAGGAGAAGATTAAAACTAAAAAACTGGGTCAGGTCATATATTAAGCAAATAAGATAGAAATAGTCATCTTGCACAGTTTTACTGCACAAACACCTTCATACAGTCTATAAAGTTACCCAGTTACCCTGAGCACCATTACCTCCTCTGCACTGCAAGAACTAAGACCAACTTTATTCATTCAGTGCTCTTATTAAACCATACATATTCACACTTCTCCAGAACAGAGTCTTAATGAGGATGAAGTCTGACTTTASCTTATTACAAAACTATAGGCAATAAGGTGTGGATGACATAAAAAAGAAGGTGCCTTGAAGTGTAGCACATGCTTTAAAAAAGTGTTATTGTTGGGTGATGGCAGAAACAGTAAGGGTATTAAATACAGTGTATTTGTACATAATGCAGAACAATGATATGTTTAGTCCTACCAATCTGTTCTTTTCTCTCAGACTGCTTAAAGGAGACATAGAGTATAATATTGAAACGTGCTGAAAGGTTGAACCCCAGGTGCAGAACTGAATGACTGATAGTCTAGTGATGTGGCAAAAATAAGGCTTTATTAAAACAGAACAAGACGCTGGAGTGGCAGCAAAAAGTTCTTACAGAAACAGGCTTGGATATGAAGAACCAGAAAACACACTGACTGTGGAGACGAGCATTCAAAGAAACATGGATGGATGGATGGATGGATGGATGGATGGATGGATGGATGGATGGATGGATGGATGGATGGATGGATGGATGGATGGATGGATGGATGGATG